AAGTTCTATCTTCAAAAAGGGAAAATCTACACTTTCTCAGGTAAATAATTAATTGACCAATGATATATATTAATGATAAAATAATAATAATAATAATAATAATAATAATAATAATAATAACAATAATAATAATATTAATAATAATAATAATAATAATAATATTAATTGATATGTGAAGAATGTAACAGTAATCACAATATTAGTATTCTCTAAGTCCACAATATTAGTATTCTCTAAGTCTTGTATTTATTAATGTACGTACGTAGCTTGGGTACGAACGAGCCATGAAAAGGCTCCCGTGGCGGCGGTTTTCAAAACAAAAAGGGCGGACTACATAAAAGCGGGTTGGGGCATGGCTGTAAGCGGGTGCTGGAGCATGATGAAAGGCGGGTTACACGTGAATGCCTCTGGCTCGGCCCATCTCTATTTCGAGTCCGAGAATACAGACGTAGAGATTTGGGCGGATAGCATTTCGTTGCAATCGTTCACCCATGAAGAGTGGAAATCTCACCAACAACAAAACGTGGAAAGAAGCCGGAAAAAGATTGTGAAATTCGAGGTATTGGACAATGAGGGATTTCCGGTGGAGAATGCGACAGTGAGCATAAGCCAGCTCTACCATAAGATCCCTGTGGGCTGCGCCATCAACCAAAACATCCTTGGAAACCAGGCCTACCAAGACTGGTTCACATCAAGATTCTCGTACACGGTGTTTGAAGACGAGATGAAATGGTACTCCACCGAGCCATCCCAGGGCGTGGAGAACTACGCGGTGGCGGACTCCTTGATCCAGTTTGCGCAAAACCACGGCATTTCTGTGCGAGGACACAACATTTTGTGGGACGACCCCAAGTATCAGCCCAGTTGGGTCTCTGGGCTCTCTGGAGAGGCCCTTCAGGAGGCGGCTAACCGGAGGGTTGAATCGGTGATGAGTCGATACCAGGGGAAGTTGATCCATTGGGACGTGATGAACGAGAATCTACACTTCCACTTTTACGAAGACAAGTTGGGACCCTCTGCTTCGACTAATTTCTACCAGAGGGCGAGCCAGTTAGACGGGCAGGTGACCCTTTTCATGAATGACTTCAACACAATCGAGGAACCCGGAGACTATGCATCCTCACCGGCTAATTACGCGCAGAAGATACAGGGTTTGAAGGCCAGTGGATTAATCAAGTTAGGTATCGGGCTGGAGAGCCATTTCCCACACCAAGAGCCCAACCTTCCCTACATTAGGGCTTCGATAGAGACGCTTGCGGCCCAGGGGGCGACCATTTGGGTCACGGAGCTGGATGTCGCGCAGGGGTACAACCAGGCAACGTATCTAAGCAAGATTATAGACGAGCTTCATTCCAACCAGGCCGTGCAGGGGATGATGTTCTGGTCCGCTTTCAAACCGCAGGGCTGCTACCAAATGTGCCTTACCGACGGTAATTTCAACAACCTGCAAACAGGGAATGTCGTGGATAACTTTCTTAATCAGTTGAAGCATGCGTATGATTCGATGTCCGGAACTACAGACTCGAATGGCTTCTTCCAAAAGTCCCTTTACCATGGTAAGTATGAGGTCAGGATAAGCCACCCGGATCGACCCGGTCAAGATGATGTACATCACATTCATGTCCTGCCACAACAACATCGTCAAAATTTTGATGATGATCACAGGCCATACCAGCTGCATACAGTTACTCTCGCCCCTACTACTGCTAATAATCACAATTAATTAGTAATGAGTGAGTGAGGGAGTTTAATTAAGGATCCAGCAGGTCACTATTAATTTGAGTGCTCTGTAGTACTTTTCGAATAATTATAAGCTGGCTGCTTTTACTTGTTTCTTTTTATATTTGTTTTTGCTTTTGTTTCAAATATGAAATAACAATTTACACTACACCATCAGTTTAAGTTAAGTTACTACTACTCTTTTAGTTGGTTTATGCTGTTTTGCTATTGATTATTATTATTATTATTATTATTATTATTATTATTATTATTATTATTATGTTGTGCAACACACACATTCATATATTCTCTCTCACCCCTCTTTATTCTCATTCTAATTCTAATAATCACAAAATCAATTAATATTCCCTAATTTATTATATTATATTTATTAAATGTGAATCAGTGAGCCGACTCATTATACTTTATACAGTACTCTTTGAAAAAATGCATCCTCATACTCAAATATTTGGCATGTAATCTAATGTAACTCAGATATATTCACACACAAATCTCCAAATCAAAAATGTTGACAAGTGACAGAGATAACCAATCTCTTCTTTTTTTTGTCCGGTCTATAGATACAATTTTCAAACACATGCTCATGAGTGTACAACTCTTGAAGAACATATAAACCAAA